ATCCTGAACTGGTGCAACCGACTGAGCTGGAGGTACTCACGGCGTCTGCAATTCCTGCACTACTTGCTCAGGTGTGCGAGCAGCAAGGGTCTAATTGCCTCCCCCGGCCTGTGAAGTAGCTGCTACTGTGGTAGCTGAAACTGCCTGAGCCAGGCCAGTGCAAACCGATAAGATCTGAGTCAGGGCCTCCTGAAGACTCGGAATCACGATGGGCATAGCTGGTGCATGAACTGGTGCTGCTGGAGCATCCATAGCTGGAACCTGGTCCTGAGCTGGGGCAGCTGGTGGATCAACAGGTGTTGCCCTCGCTGCTCTACCTCTACCACGACCATGACCGCGTCCACGGCCTCTGGTGGCCTCAGTGGGTGGTACTGGTGGTCGTCCGCCTCATCCGGTATCACGAGTCCTCGCCATCTGTGAGAGAATAGAATACAAAAGTTTAGTTCTCGGACCAACAAAATCGCACGACAAGAATTTCAAGGATATAAAGTTTTTCCTAAATGTTCTGCAGCCTCTCGAGGATAAATACAGACGTCTCTGTACCGATCTGCGAGACTCTACTAAACCTGCTCATGACTCGCGAGACCTATGTAACCTAGGCTCTGATACCAACTTGTCACGATCCAATTCCCGAACCCGATCATGATGGCACCTCTCGTGAAGACAAGGCCAGCCAGACCAAAATGGAACACCTCTTTTAAACAATTAATTATCATAAACGGCAATAAAACATAATATAATATCCATAAATTGTGGAATTTAACAATACTAACAACAAAACCCATCCCGACGCAGCCCAAATCGGGGTGTCACAAGTCATGAGCAACTAAGAAATTTGGATACAAGTCTACTGAATACTAATTCCGATACAATAGTTCTAAAAACATGAAAATGATAAAATAAGGGAGGCATGGGGCTGCGAACGCCAATAGCTACCTCGTAGTCTCCAAATCACTGCCTAAACTGGGAGAATCAACACTCAGGAGCGGACTCTGTGATGCCTGAATCTTCACACATGGTACAGGGAGTAATGTGAGTACTCCGACTCATTGAGTAATAATTATAAATAATGGATGAAAGTATGAAAACACGTAAAGGCACAAATCAATTCAATATCAAGCAGTAAAATCACTTAAAGCAGTAAATCAGTGAAGAAATCAAATGATATTCCTTTTTTAAAAATAAGTAAAACAGGTAAATAACAAGTAGAAATCTGCCCATCCGAAACAGTATCAATCGCTCAGAACAGTATCAGCCCCTCGGGCTCACTCTCAGTACAGTATCAATCACTTAGAACAGTATCAGCCCCTCGGGCTCACTCTCAGATCATAATGGGTACCCATGCTCACTGTGGGTATGCATACTCCAGAGGGGTCCCTTACGGCCCAAGCGCTATATAAACCCACCTCGTGGCATCATTACTCGGCACTCAGCCTCACATCACTCGACACTCGACCTCACATCACTCAAGTCACCTCATGACATATAAAGTATCTTAGTCCCTCGGCCTCATATCACTCAGCATATCCTCACATATGTCCCTCGGCCTCACTCAGTCCAAAAATCATCACAAGCCCCTTGGGCATTAGTAAAACAGTAGTTCTCAGCCCAAAACATAATGTAGAAATATCATTTAAGTTTCAAATTTGAGTAAAAGTGGCTGAGTTTGCAAAACAGTAGATATCAACAGGACTGAGTTCAAATAATAAGTCAAGTAGTGAGGAAATAGTGATAAAAATCCCCGAAAGGTTCAAATAGTTGGCACGAAGCCCAAATATGGCAATCAGCCCAAATCATGATAATAACAAATGAATTTCAGTCAAATACGCGGTAAACCCATCAATAGGGACGGACCAAGTCACAATCCCCAGTAGTAAAAGACCCCACGCTCATCATCCAGCGCGTGTCTCACCTCAATATAGCACTACGATGTGCAATTCAGGGGTTTCAAACCCTTAGGATATCATTTACAATCACTACTCACCTCAAACCGGCCAAAACTCTAGCTCGCTATGCCCTTGCCTCTCAAATCGGCCTTCCCGCATGTCGAATCTGACCAAAACCACAACGAATGCGTCACAATAGGCTAAGGAAACAATACCCAATCGAAAACAATCGAAAAATATCAAAAATCCCGAAATTAGCAAAACTCGAGCCCCGAGACCACTTCTCGAAACCCAGAAATTTTTATATCAACGGGTTCCTTATCTCGCCCCGAGTCTATACATATCAAGAACTCTAAAATCCGAGCTCAAATGGCCCATCAAATCCCAATTTAAAATTTCCAAACCCTAGTTCTTCTCTTTTTTTTTTGCTAAGTTTTCATGAATTTCCACGTAAATTTCACAATTAAATCAGGTTTTTAGTTCATAGAACTTACCTCCAATCAATCCTCTTTGAAACCCTCTTCAATTTCTCCCAAATAGTCTCAAAATGCCCAACAATGGAGGAAAATATGACTTAGCTCGCGGAGGAAATGTTTTGAAAATTATTCTACCCAGCTCTTATTTCTTCTATGCGAACGCGAGGGCCTTCTCGCGTTCGCGGTGCACAAAATTTCCCTTGACCAATTTTACCCTTCGCGAACGCAAAGCTCTGGACCTCTGACTCTACGCGAACGCGACACTCGTCACGCGAACGCGATGCACACTCCACGGACCCTCCGCGAACGCGATGCTCTAGACGCGAACGCGAAGCACAAAGACTCAGGGACCCAACTTTCTTCTATGCGAACGCGGGCTCATCACCGCGAACGCGAAGCTCCAGAACTTTATCTTACGCGAACGCGGACCTATCTTCGCGAACGCGAAGGCCAAATCAGGCTTGCAATTGCTGCTGCATTTTCTGCAATATTTTCCAAGTTTAAAACTTCCCGTTAGCCATCCGAAATTACCCCGAGGCCCCCGGGACCTCAACCAAGAGTGCCAACCCATCCTAAAACATCATCCAAACTCGCTCCAATCATCAAAACACCTCAAACAACACTAAAACCATCAATCCGCATCGAATTCAAGCCTAAGTTCTTCAAAAACTTCCGAAACACGCATTCAATCAAAAACCTAACCAAATCGCCTCCGAATGACCTGAAATTTTGCACACACATCCCAAATCACCTAATGAAGCTACTGCAACTCTCGGAATTCTATTCCGACCCTCGGATCAAAATCTCACTCACCAACCGAAAATCACCGAAATACTAACTTCGCCAAAACAAGCTAATTTCTACACCGGACCTCCAAAACCACTCTCGATCACGCTCCTAAGTCACAAATAATCCCCCGAAGCTAACCGAAACACCAAAAATTGCATCCGAGCCCTCTAACCTATAAGTCAATATCCGGTTAATTTTTTCAAACCAAACCTTCCTTAAAGAGACTAAGTGTCTCATTTCCTACCAAAACCTCTCCAAACCAACTCGATCACATAAGACACGGATAATGAAGCATAAAGAAGTTAAAAATGGGGGAAACAGAGTGGTAACTCATGAGACGACGGGTCGAGTCATCACAGTTTGGTTATAGCAGTGTCACTTATGATAAGAAGTCTCTCATTATCAATGGCCAAAGGAAATTTTTTTCTTTTTTGGTTCCATTCATTACCCTAGAAGTACTCCTGATGTATGGCATTTTTGTTCTTATTCTTTTTTCTTATTTTGGTATTTAATATTTTGGTGACTGTTTTTGACAATGGATAAAATGCAGATGTGGGAGGGGTTTATACAGTAGGCAAAAGATGGAGGATTGGATGTTATAGAAACCTATGTGTTTTGGAATCTTCATGAACATTCACCTGGCAATGTATTTTGCTCTTCACTCCCTTTTTTTAATGCATTAGTAATTGTTTCTTCTGCTGAGGAAGTATTTGTGAAAATGGCCTCTTTGTTTGAGAACTAAAGTTTTCAGAAGGCAATTTCACAAGCACATAGCAGGCTAACTGAAAGCAAAGTTGCCAAAGAAAAAGAAATTAAGATTTAGCCGACAATTGGTGATTCATTACACTTATTAAACCTAGAAGCAACACATGAACAAAGCAGAATGGGAAGAGTAAGAAAAAACATTTCAAGAACTGGCATGTTTATAAGGTAAATCATCACATCCTTAACTATCACTACACCCATAGCTCCTAAATCAATAACATCAGTAAATATGCTCAAAGGGGCTAAAAGAATCTGTGTCGGAATTGAATTCAACTCTAACTGGAATGGGGAACAACTCCAAACATACACTGATTTGGGTGAAAATCCCAAATTTTGTGATAGACTAATTGAACAAATAAGCTACAATATTAGCTACAAAAATCAAGTAGTTGATGCAGCTTTGACTTGAGATTCAAGCCTACACCTTGAATAATCAAAAGCATCATAGTTTTATTTTTGATAAGGTCAAAAAAAAAAAGATGCTTGAGAAAGTTAAATTTGTAAATTCAGCACTTACCAGAGAGAGGAAGCAGGTCAGAATTAGAGTGCAATCGAGATGAAGGTCTAACAGAGGGAAAAGGAGAACACTGATGGATGAGAGAAGAAAGGCGTAGGATTATCAAGGCATGTACTTTGCTAACTCCATTGTATATGATATAAGAAAAGCATACATGTGAGAATAGCTTAAAACCTACACGTAGTATCTGAGCCGCGCATAAAAGGCACATATAGAGGTCATATGAAATGACCTAAATGCCCCCAGACTTTGTTGAAAAGAATTGAAGCATACATGTCAAAAACGTTCTCTTCTAATATATAGAAAAATAGAAAAAAACGAAAACTATCACTTCAAAGTTAAAAAATTTGAATTCTTAAAGTAATTAAAGTTTTATATAATAATAATCTTATTATAATAATGGGTCTAAATATTTTAAAATGAGTAAATAATAAAAGAAAGTTTCATATAGAGGTCATTCTTTTTTTAAAAAAAAATTGAGATAATTTTTTTAATTTAGGTGTAGATGCAATATGTTGGATTTGAGAACCTCTTACCTGTATATATCCAACAAATTGAAGGGTGATNCCCCCAAACCCTAAAACACAGTGCTTTCCCCCTAATAATTCATCCAAATTCATCGGAAAATGCTATTGAATCGCCGTGTATTCCGATTCCTGACCGGAATTTCATGTCGATTTTACCATTCGGACAAGAGGAAAAAGGTGACACTTTACTCAAAAATCAGTCCACTGGGAGACCCTAACTATAGCGTAACAAATGAACTGGACGAATGGGTTTGCAAGGGCAAAAAGGTCCGATTTGCAGAGCTTCAACGCATTATTCTTGATCTTCGTAAACGCAAACGCTTTAATCAGGCCCTCGAGGTACCCCTCTATCCATCAGTGATGCTTGTTCTCTCATATATGAAAATTTCTATATTTTTACTGTATAATTTTTTTTATGTTTGCAGCTAATTAGAATTTTAGAAATTAAGTTTAGTCAACATTTCTGTTATTAGTGTTGTGGAATTGTTGGTGAAGCTGCTCATTTGTTATTCTAGGATGTTGGTTTAGACTTTGCAATTTGTTTGGATTATAAAAATATTTCGAAAAACTTATTAAGAGTGTCCCTATTGAATATATTTTTTCATGGAAAATATGTTGCTTTCTTGTGGAAATGTTACTATGAGATCTAATCTGTGACATTCAGCTTCTGTTTCACGCGTATGTATAGTTCCTTGTCCTGATTGAATTGAATGTCTCATAAATTGGATGCTAATTTAGTCATTTGTGCTGAACTTTATTGTTGAGCAGGCTTCGGAGTGGATGAAGAGTTCTGGTATTTTCACTTTTTCATCAACCGAGCATGCAGTACAGCTGGATCTGATTGGTAAGGTGCACGGGTTTCATGCTGCAGAAAGCTACTTTAATAACTTGAATGAAGAAGATAAGAATGATAAGACATATGGTGCTCTTCTTCATTGTTATGTTCGGCAAGGTGACATTAAAAAGGCATTGACACATTTGAAGATGATGCAGGAGAAGGGTCTTTCTCTATCTTCTGTGGCCTTCAATGATATAATGTCATTGTACACAAGAACCGGTGAGTATGAAAAGATACCTGACGTGCTACGCCATATGAAGGAAATTGGGGTTCGTCCTGACAATTTAAGTTACAGAATCTGTATCAATTCGTATGGAGCAAGATCAGATATTGAGGGGATGGAGAGGGTCTTAAATGAAATGGAGAACCAATCATACATTGTCATGGACTGGAACACCTATGCTGCTGTTGCGAACATATATGTTAAATCAGGCCTAAACGATAAAGCAAACAGTTTCCTCAAGAAAGCAGAAGAGAAGATAGATAATAAAGAAGGGCTCGGGTATAATTACCTCATCTCTGTATATTCTAGACTGGGAAACAGAGATGAAGTCATCAGATTATGGTTTCTAGAGAAGAGTGCTCTGAAGAGGTGCATAAATAGGGATTACATAAATATGTTAGAAGCTCTGGTGAGACTTGATGCGCTTGAAGAAGCGGAGCAGTTGCTCAAGGAGTGGGAAACATCCGATAACTGTTATGATATCCGTGTGCCATACATAGTCATTATAGGGTATATCGATAAAAAGCTTTATGAAAAGGCCGAGACCATGCTTGAAGATTTATCTACAAAAGGGAAGACACTAACACCAAATATTTGGGGAAGACTGGCAGCAGGCTACCTAGATAAAGGTAAGTTTGAGAGTGCTGTGAAATGCATTAAAGTTGCTCTTTCCTTAAAGAAGGATAGTAAAGGATGGAAACCTGATCCTAAAGTCATCATGAAAATATTAAGTTTGTTGGGGGAGAATGGTAGTGTGGATGATGCTGAATCATTTTTGAGTTCGCTGAGGCCCGTCGTCTCTGTAAATAGAGAGATGTATCATGTCTTACTAAAATCATATATAGCAGGTGGTAAAGAAGTTGAAAGACTTCTAAACAGTATGAGAGCTGATAACATTGATGAAAATGAAGAAACAAAAGTGATACTTGAAGAATATAAACCAATAAGCTCCTAACAGAGAGATGTACTGTATGAAATTATTTCAAATGCTAATTTTGAAAATAATTCTTTGTTGGACATGAGTGTTTGTGTTTGAAAAACACATTCACGTGTCCAGGCTTGTCACATTCTTAACAGTTTATGCTGGCCCTTTGTTGTTCCTCCTTGCATTGTTCCTTTCAGAGTTTTTATCGAACTGGGATTTCTTCATTTGTTTTCTTCTTCTCATAATGTTGTATATTCCCTTTGAAATCATTGCCAAGTCTTCCTTATCTTCTTCGTCATCTTCTTCACTTTCTGTTTCATCAAGAATGGTTTTGGATGCAACATTCCTTCTCTTTTCTTTCTGTCCATGCCTTTGAAGATGAATTTTCTCGAAAGCAATAAGATTGTGGCGAAGTTCATCAATTGTCATTTCATCCAGATTTGTACTTTCAATTGCAATAACCTTAGGTTCCCACACTCTAGGCAAACTCCACAGAATTTTTCGGACTTGTCTACCATTAGAGTAGGATTTTCCTAGAGCATTGAGATCTCCAACAATTTTATTAAATCTTGTGAACATTTCTTCAATGGTTTCATCTTCCTTCATCATGAATAACTCTGTACTTATGAACCAGATGATTAATCCTGGCTTCTTTTTCTTGCTTTGTACCTTCATAGTGTATCTCCAACTTGTCCCATATTTCCTTTGCAGTTTCACAACTTGAGATCTTTGCGTATTCTTCCATGCTCAAAGCACAATTAAGTAAGTGTTTAGCTCTAGCATTGGTTTGAATGGCATCCTTTTGTTCTTTTGTATAGGATGCCCGACCTTCATGTTTCCTTCCCTCATCATTAGCAGGAATTGGCAGTGGTCCGTTCTGAATGACTAGCCATGCTCGATAGTCAACTGATTGCACATAAGTTGACATTCTAGCCTTCCAATGCCCATAATGTTCTCCGTGTTGAAGTATGGTGGTCTAGAGTCTTCTTCATCACTATACATTGTTCTTTTCTCAGTTTCTGTTAAGAAAAAACAAATTCGTGAGACGAGACTTTGATCGCAATTGAAAAACAGAAGAGAGATGAATTGTGCCCTTGTAAAAATATTTGTTCGAGTATACTGTTCGTGCTTAAAAGGTGTGAAATTTTCGTCTCGGTTCTACTCCTTTTTATACTTGATGGGATGTGACCGTTGTGGCTGACTTGCTTCATTAAATATTCAGAATATCGTTACTGTATCTCTTTCCAATTCTTCCGAAGATTGATGTTTAAATTTCTGCTTCTAGAATCTTCTTGCTTAATATTGGCTTCTTGATTGTCTCCAAATTAAACTTCTTAATTTCCTGATTTTGTGGAGTCATAATGTATGGCTCCTTAATTAGTTTTTCAGTTCCAAATCTTGAGACTCCTTAAATAGTCTTGTCCTCTTTAATGTCAAAATAACCGCAGCAAGTCATTATTTATGTCTTATTTAAATCCAATAATGTAAAAAGATTGGAATCAGAACTGATGGAATATATATATATATATAGTATAAAGCGGAAGCATTCCAGCATAAATTTGCATGTAGTATAGAGTCAACATACTTTCGGATTTAAAATCAATATTAAATCAGAAGAATACCTCTTGAAGTGTGTAAGAATTTCACAAATCTCTGCCTTTGTAGCTGTTTTCCCAAACTACTGTTCTTATGTTCAAGGACTTTATATACCAAATGTATACCCTAATTTCGGGCCTCCTTGTACTAGGGTGAATTAGGTTAAGTTATTTCTTTTCCACCTGTAGACAATAAATTTGGGTCGAGAAAATAAAATCAAGACCGAAAAAAATATCGCACCAATCGTAGTATTTTATTTCGAATATTTGAGTGTTACAATCTCGATGAATTCTCTGATTCTACTTTTCTATAGTAAATAAATTCAAGGGCCTTTGAGCTTAATCTTGAATATGTATTTGTTGCCACAAACAATGATCTTGTTCTTGAACTTGAACTTGACCTTGATTTGTTATTTGTTCTTGAACTTGATTTCTTGAACGTGAAGCTTGTCACTTGTGGAGGAATTTGCAGCGTTTGATCCACGAGCTCTTTCTTGCTTCTTGTTATAACTTCTGGTGTCTTTTCTGAGTTATGAAGACCCCTATTTATAGTTGTGGAAGGGAAGAGTTGTGATAAGAACAAACTCTTTCAGACCAATCAAATTGAAGTGTGACATGACCGCATTTGATTGGCCAGAACATGTCACTTGCACACGTGGCACGATTTCATTGGCCTTTCAGTGTGACTGGGCATGCCTTGTCATTTTGACACGTGGCATGATCCTATTGGCTCTTTCGCTTGACTTGACGCGCCACGTCATTTAACACATGGCACCAAATTGGGCCTCTAGGAAGATGTCATCTTGGGCTTAATGAAGTGGACTCATCACTTTAGCCCAATTAAATGGGCTAGCACAATGGATTAAGACTTATTTATTTAATCCATATATATTGGGCTTATAATTAATCCAATTATATTAATCCAAATAAATTTATTTGAACTGATATATCTTGAATTTTAAAATATAGTCCCAATCATTTTACGGATTTAATTCCAATAAAATTTATATGCCTACAAATGCCCCCTACTTCAAGACTCGTCAAGATCTTAAAATTTTTGAAGACTAGGCTTGAAGTATTTAGGTAACAAATGTCTATTTATTTTACCCATTTTTGAAAACATCCAATTTATCTTCACATAAAAAAAAATTAGTTGAAAAGAATCCAAACTATAACTTTGAGATTCTAATTGAAATTCACGCGAGATATTACTGAAAGAATTAAAACTATAATTTACTTCTTGTCTTCCTAATTAGATGGACTTCTCAGACTTTGCCCCTTACTACTTTTGGCCTTATACGGTTTTGTCAAAATCCGTAAGTGTCCAAATTGGTTAGAAGCCTTCTGCTTGTAGTTTTCTTCATTAGAATTGAATTAGGAGAACAAATCCATGTTGGACTCTGAAAATCTCTACCCCCACATCGCAATTAACCCATCAACTGGCATCTTTGGAGAATCTATAAATAGGGACGTGCCTTCCTTTCAATTGGCATCAGTCGCAGCTTGCAAGCCTGTCCAAGTGAATCGTCACGAGAAGGTAAATTATTTTACTTTTTTACTTCTGCGTTTTCTTTGCTTGTTCTTTTCTCTCTTTTTTTCTAGGTCAAACAAGAAAGATATGCTCTTGTTCAACAAGATGATCTACACATGAAGAAGGCATTCTTAGGGTGTAAGGGGATGGATACTCATCCCTGCTCAAATATCAGAGGGATTACTTTCATGGCCCGACTACCGGAGAGATTACTCTCAAAATGGCCCGATTCTTGGAGAGATTACTCTCAATGTGGCCCAATTCTTGGAGAGATTACTCTCAATGTGGCCCAATTCTTGGAGAGATTACTCTCAATGTGGCCCAATTCTTGGAGAGATTACTCTCAATGTGGCCCAATTCTTGGAGAGATTACTCTCAATGTGGCCCAATTCTTGGAGAGATTACTCTCAATGTGGCCCAATTCTTGGAGAGATTACTCTCAATGTGGCCCAATTCTTGGAGAGATTACTCTCAATGTGGCCCAATTCTTGGAGAGATTACTCTCAATGTGGCCCAATTCTTGGAGAGATTACTCTCAATGTGGCCCAATTCTTGGAGAGATTACTCTCAATGTGGCCCAATTCTTGGAGAGATTACTCTCAATGTGGCCCAATTCTTGGAGAGATTACTCTCAATGTGGCCCAATTCTTGGAGAGATTACTCTCAATGTGGCCCAATTCTTGGAGAGATTACTCTCAATGTGGCCCAATTCTTGGAGAGATTACTCTCAATGTGGCCCAATTCTTGGAGAGATTACTCTCAATGTGGCCCAATTCTTGGAGAGATTACTCTCAATGTGGCCCAATTCTTGGAGAGATTACTCTCAATGTGGCCCAATTCTTGGAGAGATTACTCTCAATGTGGCCCAATTCTTGGAGAGATTACTCTCAATGTGGCCCAATTCTTGGAGAGATTACTCTCAATGTGGCCCAATTCTTGGAGAGATTACTCTCAATGTGGCCCAATTCTTGGAGAGATTACTCTCAATGTGGCCCAAACTATCGGCGAGGCCAACTTAAGGTGCAAATGAACTCATATGTCCACCTTAAGATTGGAAACTTATAGTTCCTTTTAAGGACAAACCCACGAAGAGGCCAACTTAAGGTGCAAAGGGACTTATATGTCCACCTTAAGATTGGAAAGTTATAAAGCTTCAACTTGAAGACGGCATCGACTTGAACACTTGGAAAACTTTGAAGATTTGGCGGACTTTGCAGACTTCAACTCGAAGATTTAGAGGGATTAAACAATTCAACTTTAAGCTCGGCGAATTTGAAGACTGAAACTTGAAGACCGACGAACTTGAAGACTTCAACTTGGGGGGTTAAATATTTCAACTTTAAGACCGACGAATTTGAAGACTTTAACTTGAAGACCAACGGACTTGAAGACTTCAACCTTGAGACTTGGAGGGCTTAAATATTTCAACTTGAAGATCGACGAATTTGAAGACTTCAACTTGAAGACCGACAGAGTTGAAGATTTCAACTTGGGGACTTCAACTTGAGTACCGAAGGACTTGAAGATATAAATTTACCATGGAGGGTTACCCCTTTTAAATCAAATGAGATCAAAGTTCCACAAGAGGATGGCATTTCAGCTTGATTTTGCATTCCTCCATACTTCACTCGGACAACAATTGGGGCAATATGTATCTTTTGAACTTGTGCGACTGAACTTAGAATGAAACTCTAAGCTACCTACGTACCTCGGTGAAGAGGATCAAGTCATTTCGTAGTTCAGAATGGGTGATTTTTTTATGTCCTAACTTTTGCCTAGGCCGCCTCTTTCGAGATTTTCAACCTAGCGGACTTTTTTTTAGGGTCGTACACAGTTTATACTCTTGTGGGCCAGGAGTGTAGCAACATGCAGTTTAGGCTCGTGTGTCGAGGAGCATTATGACTTGCAGTTTAGGCTCGTACGTCGAGGAGCGTCATGACTTGCAACTTCATGGATAATACTTCTTCAAAAACTTGCCGTTGATAGGGCCAATTCTCATACCATCTGCATCAACCAGCTTGTAAGCCCCACTTGAATAAGCTTCTTGTACGACATATGGCTCATCCCATTTTGAAGTGAACTTTCCTACAGGTTTATGGGAAGTAATTATGGGTCTTCGTACGGCAAGGACTTGATCTTCTACTTGAAAGGATCTCAGACGAAC